GGGACTTTCAAATATCATTTAAAACGTATAAACAGTTTAAGTAATGTAATTTAAACATAGGATTAGAAATTTTTTAGTTATGCTAAAAACAATTTTCCTGTATATTGATTGTTTTCTCACACTAAGGTCATTTTTTATTGATCATAGCAACAATTCAATGTGATCGATTATGTAAAATAATAAATAACAGGTCACATTTGTGATATGAAATGTTAATTTATTTAAATAATCATAGCACTTATTGAATAACTGAGAGTCAATCAAATTTGCTGTATATTAAGTGTCTTGATGTAGTCATTGACCAACGTATTCTTTTAATTTTAATGATCAATCATTTTGTAATCATTTTTTACTAGAAAACCAAATCCTTGAATAGTTGTAGACTTTTGATGATGTTAATGTATGCATTTAGAAAAACTTGGCAAATACATTTATATTTCAAATATTTTCACGTTTCAGTCTACCTAGAAAAAAGAAATTTATATCGTCTATCCGGGTCTTCAGAGCAGAATATTCACAAAACCACTACTTTACATTATCCATATCTTATCATTGCTTAATGAAATAATTATTTGGATTCGAAAATATACTTATTTAATACACGCGTGTGATTGTATGAAGAGACCGTCACCATGGGGAAGAACTGACATACATTCCAACACATAATCATTGAATACTGGAAACATTAATACATATTACAAAAACTGCTCAATTTTTTCACACATCTGGGTTTAAAACATCTTAAGAATTAAAATAGATCGCGAAAATAACTTTGGTTTTCTAAGGCATGTCTTAAACTTGACTTGAATCCAGATATTGCTGTTCTTTATTAATTCGCAATTCGTAGTCGTATTAATAATCCTGATCTATGTAGCTTCAAGCAGTTTATAGCAAACGAATGAGCGAGCGCATGAATTGCTAGTGAAATTATTCTCATAATACTACAGTTATTTTTGATCTCTTCAAATGAATGATAAAACATGGAGATATCATCGCCTTTCATTCTTCTTCACGAGCTGATTAGAAACCACTACAGGCAAATAGTGGCATAGTTATAAACCGAACAATATTACTGATGTAATAAGCTTAAGATTTACTAACGGCATGGCTTTCTCACTTAAATTTGGCAAATAAATAAATTGTTTCTGAAACGTTAAAACTATAGATGAGGATAAAAAAGAAAGAAAACCTTATTGATTGGAAAACTCTGGAAATTAAGAATCGCACAATGGCGAATTCGAGGCTGGAGAACCTGATGAACAAAGTACACAGCAAATGAGTAGAAACCCGGTAGCCTGATGATAAAGACATTTTATCAGGGATGAAAAAGTATATTCAGTTGAGTGCATGGAGAAATTTACCAAGCTAAGTTCACTGAAATAACAAAGTCAATATGAATGTTTAAAGTTTTTTCTAAATTAAACTCGGCTGATTTTACTTTTGATGTGCGAAGACCCACAGACTTTGCCAGTTAGTTATTTAGAACTGAAAACCATTGTGTTCGTACATACGTATTTGTTAATTCCTTGAAGTTGGTGGCATCTGATCGTCTTTCCACATACTAAGACCTACTGCAACAAACAGGGAATATAAGAATGATTACACTTTATTATATGCTTTTTCCCTAGTTTCCGTTAAACCTTAAAGAACATAGGCATGAATACGTGTTCATAAAACAACATCGGAAGTCAAACAGAAGAATCTCAGAAAAAAGTTAGCATTCATCGTACATAAAATAAAGACAGTTGGGATAGGCGTATAGAATTAGAGTAGGTACGTTCAAAGTGTTTAAACTAAAACAATGAAAAACTAAGATGTATTCGACATTATAAGGAGTGCAGAAACTCGTCAGAGTTGTTGTTTGGAAGACCGGTGAAATTACACTGGGCTATAGTCACATATTCTGGTAGTCGAGTCACTAAATATCTAACAGTTTACTGATCCACGTCAAGGTCAGGGACAACCATGGCGAATCAATCAACACCACGCCATGGACAGGAGCGTGAGGCAGTAGTCGAGCACTGTTCTTGCACATGTTTTTTACTGATACGCTTCGCCATAAAGTTAAATTTTAGCCATACTGTCATCATAGTGACCATAGTACCTGGATACGACTAGAGGATAATCTGAATTAGGTATTACCCACGATATGTGATTTCATAGTAAGTTGGGAGGTCACTTCAACGTTGTTCAACTCAAGTTGAGCCCAATCATCGATGTAGATCACCTACGTTGATGATATACAAGTGTTTATTAGTTGTTTGGGTGGTCTGAAAACCCAGTTGTTTTGTCAGAATAATTTACTTTTGCTTTCATATTTGAAGTTAACTCATCTCTGTTATAATTTAGTGACAGATCTCGCAAAGCTTTATTTTACGTACATTTGAACATTCATCTTATCTCCGTGAAATTCAATGGTTTGTTTACCCTTGATACGAGCCTTTTTTGTTCGAAATCCTATTTGGTTCTACAAGATAATAAATCCATTCTGAAATAAAGTTTCGGGAAAATTGTACAATTAGATATATCTTCATTTAGTGCTAACTACCGGCTGGAACGATGTGTTAATTTACTGGGAAACAGTAAAGTTTCGTTACTAAGTTTTAGCATTCATGTCGTTCCAACATTTCGCGTTTCTTATTATCTTTTCGCTTTAGTTATTAATATTGTTTAACAAGCTGTCGATACGACAAAAGCTGATGATCCTGGTATCAAACTCTTTCAACAAAGAAGACGTTACGAGTTCAAAGGAGTTATAACATTTCGTCTTGGACAGAGGCAGATGAACCTGACTCAACCAATCTGACTTTTTGGACGAAAAGGAGATTCCCAGGTAGACTAGGTCTGAATATCAAGCCAATGATTAACCGAGTAGTATCGTTCATCAGAATTAACAAGATCGGCAACATTATATGATCAGTCTTCGGTCTAAATAATAGTAGGTTGTTTAACTTATGTTACTTCTTTCAGATTGTTTTTCAACGAATATTCAGCTTCCTCTTGAAAGTACTCACTATTTGAACTGACACTACTTATTTGAATATGGCGTTTCAGTCACTGACCACTCTAAGAGAAAAACGGCATCTCACTTTGAGTTTCATTGGTCTCGGGTTTCGAACCTTATCACAAAGTACTTGGAGATATTTATCTCTGTTGGCAATAAAGAGGTGAAACATGTTAACAGTTGAATCATTTTGTAAGATACATAGTGCCAGTATAAGGTCACCTAGCGTCCTACAATAAGATAAAAGGAAAATATTAAAGCGTTTTAAGCGTTCGTCAAAGGAGAGCTTAGTAAAACCTGTCACTAACTTAGTTCCCACACACTAAACACATCAGAGTGTGACAGATTCCACAACAAGAAATGGACTAGCTGCTTGCTTTCTAAAAGATAGCATTATTGAACATCCAAAAGAAAAATTCACAAGTTACTTTTCAGATTTTTTGAATGATGTCGTGTTTACTCGGTGTCAATAGCGAATTTTGTCCTAGATCTTTATCGTCACCGGTTCCGTTGCTGGTTTCAAAATCAAACTTGGTCTTTATCTCAGACTGGTCTCCCCAGACATACAATAAGGTCTTATATTGTAGACGATTGAATTAGTTAGATGTTATATTCCTAAAAGTATTTGCAGCTATGTTCATATAACATGTCTGTAAGTATTACCGTAAGAAATCGTGAATAAGTAACAGGTTCGGACTTTTGACCTTATACATAGGTTATACAGCTTACAAAAACGTAACCCCCCTTCCACAGTGAGTAGCAGTTTCTTCAGATATTGACGTTAAAGATGGCACGTGAGAAAATGGTTCATATCCCGCCATTGGCACACATCCCCAAATAATTACCATATGAATAGAAGGTAATTTATACTTTAGATGTGTAATATTTCTAACCTGTGCCTTGAAACAAACGACTCTTAGCCGGCTCATCACTCACCCTCCGCACCCAGTAACTAAGGGCTTTTCTTGACCGCTCTCATATGACACCTGATATTCCGAATTTTTAGAGCTTCTACAAAAGCTCTATGAGAGACAAATTATCAAATTCCTTAATAAAATCCAGGAGTTTTGCATCGACAGGCAAACCGTTATTTTGGACTGCTGTCCAATCCTCTCCCGCAATCAGTATATAGGTTAAGCATGAACACTTGTTCTGAGACCAGGAGTTTCGAGATTGTATGATTTCACACGAGTTAGTGAATTGTAAATACTATGCCAGTTTGGCTGATGGTTGGACAACTGGATATGATCTGTCCTCTTCAGTAATTAGACATAGGGCTGATTAAAGAATTCTTCCAGTGACTCGACAGTTGAGTGTTGGAAACTGGCGCGTTGAAACTTACAGTGCGTGGCTCGGGAAGTGTCCTCTAGGGATGACAGCAATCATGAATGTAACCCGATAACTTGCCATGTTTAAGGTTGATGGATACCTTAGTCAAAAGCACTGGTCCTAAAGCTGGTACCTCAGTAGTATGTGATATGCGGCGCGATAGAACCACTAACGATGTGACAACAATCAGCCTTTCTCCATGTACAGGTATGAGCTAGAACAACAATTCGTTAGCAAGACAATGGGGACCTCAGTGTAGTCCCTCCACAGTCACTTACTTGTGTCTACATTGGATTGCATAACTGGCTACCTCACATGTCCCACTATTATGTGCCTCCGATTTACTCGATTGCTCGCGATCGTGATCTCTACAAGTCAACCGGTTTAGCTGAGTCCTACTACATATCAATTATCAACACAAATAAATCTCAGTTATTGATTGTGGTACCTCAATCTTACCTCACTACTGATTTCTGCATCTTCATTCTTCTGATTCATCACAATAGCCAATTGAACGATATTTATAACGGCAGCTATTAGATTCACTAAATTCGTATCTTGAAAAGGAACACATGAACAAAACTATTTTCAGACTTCAGGACGTGTTTACTAAAGAACTACTTAACTTTATTCAGCTTATCACAAGCTTATTGTTTATTGGACATATAATTCCGTAAGTGGCAAAAATAGTTTGTACGTTGCAATGGCCCTAACACATCAGCTGAGTGCCTTGCTTAAAGTAACTGCGGCTAGAATCGATGTTGAAGATAAACTTCTTGAGCACTACTTGAATAAGGTTGTGAAAGTTATAGGTTCATCTGATTTATCAAAAGGTTTGTAGCTGACTTTTCCTGGTTTGAATATATGAAATTTATGAATGCATACACGTAACGCTTATGATAGATTAATAATAAAACTAAGTCTCGAGATTGTTTGCCTCCTTTGTTTCATAAACCGTTCGAGCGCGTAATTTTTAAACTTCCAGTATTTATGACTTCTTGGTGTTAATGTTAATAACCACGTGGTTTCAGGATGTCGACATCCTCAAACATAGTCATATTTGGTCGTGATCGCTTATTTAACTCTAGACCTTCAGGCAGCTTATTGAAAGGCCGCAACACACTTCCTTATCAAGACTTGTGATATGTTTACATCTAGGCCTTGACCTTGGCGATAAATATCTGTATTTGAGGCTATTTGGATTTTTTTTCGTTACATTGCAAGTCGTGTTTTCCTGATGTACATCAAATTAGGCTGTTGTATGGGATCTCGATCTATGTTAGTGTGTTCCTGTGGGAGAATATGTCAGTCTCTTCCATTCCTGAGTCCCAAAAGCTTGTCAGCTCATTTCTGTCCTATGTTTACGGTTGCCACATTTCATGCAGTTGTTTGTGGGATCAAATGTATAAAAGACAAAAGGATATAGGCTTTGTGTTAAGGGGTTTCATTTAATCTGTTTTCAATGTGACTACATAATAATCTGGAATAGTTGACGTGAACGAGTTACAGTCATTAGTAATATGACAGAATGGCCCACCAATGGACAATCAGTACTGCGTTTGTGATACTTCTGATGTGTCTATGTAAATCCTGTTTTGGTAAACCAAGAATAAGTCCCCTTTTGAAATGTTCTCACTTGGCCATGCGTATACAGCCACTAACATGGAAGTCATACTTACTGCCTTCTCGCGGCGGGGGTGTTGTTTATTTATTTAAATACATACATATTGGTACAAAAGGGCACCAGATACATATGCGCCACACAAAACAATAAAAATGGTGAGAGGAAGGATGCAAAAGAAGGGGTGGCTGAAACGTAAAACCGGGAGACTTTCAGTTAAGAAAGTTAGAACCACTCTATGAAGAAAGTAAAAGAAGGTTACAGCAGGTTCGCCACTGGCTTCTATTCTGAGTCATATCTGATAATGTCTCTAAACGGAGATCGTTTAGATAGAACAGAGTTTTCACCATGGGCGAGATGCTGCATAAGTTGAAAGAAAGGATATACAAATAGGGAATAAAAGGGAGTGAATAAGCGACGTGGTAAATAATGAGGATAATAATAATGTAAATTGTCTAGTTTCTAGTAGGAGCAAGAGTAGTATTGTCAGTAGAATGCGTCATTTCATTTATTCGTGTGTGGGCTGTGATACTGCCCGGGTGCCCAAATTGAAGCAGGTGGTTTTCTTAGGGGGCCACATCCCGAGCCTTTGATCTAGAGGTCTAACCCACAAGGCAGTGGAGCATCGTGAGGAGATGCAGCCTAATGATAGCCGGTGACCAACAATTGGTTCATACGCCATTTGTTCGTTCAGGATACTGGAGCCCATGTGCACCATTGGTTTGGAATCAAGATTTTCCAACTCCCCTAGGTGGACTTACCGTGTCACCAACCCAGTTAAAGCGCCGGACATTCGCTTTTCGTCCTCTCACTTTTGTGAACATGACCCCCGCCACGAGAAAGCAGTGAGTAGGACTTTCCTGGCAAAATCTATATACGCGTGGCCATGTGAGAGCATTTCGAGAGGGAGAGCGAACTCTCCCCACTTTCAGCCGTACCAGGGCATTCGGGGGGGTGTTGTTAACCAAAAGCGAATGTTCTGCACTTTAACCGGGTTGGTGACACGGTAAGTCCACCTAGGGGAGTTGGAAAATCTTGATTCCAAACCAATGGTGCACATGGGCTCCAGTATCCTGAACGAACAAATGGTGTATGAACTAATTATTGATCACCGGCTACCATGGGACTGCATCTCCCCACGATGCTCCACTGCCTTGTGGATCAGACCTTTAGGTCAAAGACTCGGGGTGTGGTCCCATAAGAAAACCATCTGCTTCGGTCTTGTCACTTGAGCAGTATCACAGCCCTCATACAAATAAAATGAGATGACACTAATTACTGTTAATGCTGTTCTCGCTCCAAATAAAATTCAGACAACTCACTTTCATTTGACAACATTCATTTTTATTTTTTTTTATATACTGCATCACTTATCTACTCCCTTCTATCCTCACTTTGTGTATCCTTATTGTTCAAGTTATACAGTGGCTCACATATGGTGGAAACTCTGTTCTGTCTAAACAATCTCGAGTCACTGACTGGTCAAAATTTGAATGCTACCACTGAATACGAGTACTGAAGCAGTCTTTCTAGAACCACGTATACCATTCAAACTGGCTTCCTTCAACGTTCGCACACTAATGCAGATAGGGTTGGCTATGTCTTTGGGAAGTCCTAATATCGACGTCGTTTAGATGGCCGACGGGGACTTGTTGGTCGCAAGACAGATAACGGGGACCGTCTCCTGCAACTGTGCACAGACCACAACCTGTTTCTGGCCGGCACCAACTTCCGGCACAGTCATCGACGATGTGCCACCTGGCGTCCTCCTTCTGCCTCTCAAGCCTGGACTCAAATTGATCACATCGCGATCAGCTACCGCTGGTGTGGTTGTGTACAAGACTGCTGCTCCTTTCGGAGTACCTATCTGGACTCTGATCATGCCCTGGTCTATGCCAACCTTACTTTTCAGTGGCCAATAAACCGACTGTCACCAATGTATGGATGTTAGTAAACTGGTTGCAACTTCTGTTGCAAGTAAGTATCGAACCGAGCTAGCTGCCATCCCACCGAGAAGTACAGATGAGCATTGGTTGCAACTGCATGACGCTATGAAAATGGCGAGTAAAGCCGCTTTCGGTTTCGCGAAACGTCTCGGTTATAAGCACTGGGTTTCTTCTGGCTCCTTACAACTGATCGAAGCCCATCGGCCTGCTCTGGGTGACCGTAAGTATGACCACAAACGAAGGCTGTTATGTAATGAAATTGGGCAAACCTTGCGTAAGGACCGAGAAGCCTGGTGGTCGGAGCGTGCTAATGAGCTGGAAGCAGCAGCTGCATCTGGTAACTGCCGGAAGATCTTTCAACTTATCCGAGCCACTGGCAGCAAGAAGTCTGGTGTGGGCGAAACAGTCTGTGAGGTTGACGGGATGCCAATCACTAACATCCATCAACGTCTTAGTTGATGGGCAGAGTTCTTCGAAGGGCAGTTCAACTGGCCTGCTGCTCCGGAAACATCGATCAGACTGTCCTGCTCTCCATGGCCTGTGACGACTGATCCACCGAATGAGGCGGAAGTCCGCAACAAGCTACAACTCTTAAAGCGCTACAAATCACCAGGCCCAGATGACTAACCTCCGGCCCTTTTTTAATGATAGGGGTGACTTTCTGGTTGTGGAACTGACAACGTTGTTTACAAAGGTTTGTGAGCTAAAGAGCGTTCCAACATTATAAAACGAATCGATAGTTGTCCCTATCTTTAAAAAGGGTCCTCGTCGCTTCTGTAACATCTATCGGGGATAAGTTTACTTCCGATTGCGTCCAAACTATTGGCTTTTATCATTCTTCGTAGGTTGTTCAAAACCCGAGAAAGATTGACTCGCGAGGAGCAGGCTGGTTTTCGTTCTGGTCGAGGATGTATTAATCATATCTTAACCCTCCGCCAAATGCTAGAACACCGTCATACTTATCACAGACCAAGAATCATAGTGTTTCTTGGCATCAGGACTGCCTTCGATTAATTGGACAAGACGGTTCTCTGGGATCGTCTATTGAAGAAGGGTGTGTCTGAGAAGTTTATTAACATCCTAAAGGTCCTATATACAAACACCTCAGGCAGAGTAAGGGCATACAACCACCTCTCTCCATTGTTCCATTCAAGCACTGGAGTTAGACAGGGTTACCCAATCTCATCATTCCTCTTCAACTTTGCCATCGATGACATTCTGGAAACAGCTCTAATGGATGTGAGTAACAGTGGTGTGAATCTGTTTCCTGAAGAAAGATTTCCCGACTTTGAGTATGCGGATGGTATTGTCTTACTGTGTGATGATACTCAAGCCATGCAATCCGCACTTGACAATTAGTTTTCGTAGGTACAGTCTGTGCTTTGCACCTTCGAAGTTCAAAGTACTTCTACAAGACTAGCAGGACTCTGATCCTGCACTCGCCCTGTGTAGTGAGCATATAGAAGTAGTCAAGAAGTTCGTGTATCTGGGTAGCTGCATGAATGCTGGTGGTGGCGTGAGTGATGAGATCGATTGATGTATAATGAAAGCCAGAGCGGCTTATGCCAATCTGGGCCACCTTTGGCGCCTTCGTGATGTTAGTCTGGCTGTAATGGGTCGGATCTACAACGCGTCAGTAAGAGCAGTTCTGCTGTATGCTTGTGAAACCTGGCCTCTTCGAGTTGAGGATGTTAGACGTCTCTCTGTGTTTGATCATCGTTGTCTCCGAAGGATTGCTGACAACACTACTTTAGTAATGCAGAGGTTCGGCATCCTGTCATCGGGCCCAGTGACGATAATTTAGTTGGTGTCACCATCTTGAAACATCGACTTCGGTGGCTTGAACATGTCCTACGAATGTCGTTCTAGAGAATTCCTCGTTGTGCATTATTTGCCGACTCCAGGACCGGTTGGATAAAGTGCAAAGGTGTTCAGTGTATGACATTGTGTCGTGTTATGAAAGAAAGCTGTAAAGGACTGGCTTGTGTTGGTCCTTCACGACTCCCTGGTTGGGGTCCTAGAGATGGTGCAACTCAGTGGCTAGAGACGTCACCAGATATGGCTCAGAATAGAAGCCAGTGGTGGTCCTGTTGTAACTTTATTTTCTTCATAGAAAAATGGACGTAACTCCTCTAACTGAAAGAATCCTTTCTGGTTGTACCTTTGCTAAGTGGGCTGCTTATTTCAGTGTCATACACTAATTATGTTCGCTATTGTTCCCATTTTTCTTATACGCGCCTTACATCCTCATTGTTATCGTGTGACGCATATTTATTTGATGCCCCTTTGTACTGATTTTTATGTGTTTAGGTAAATAAATAAGCAAAATATCCGTAAACTAACTGTGATTAGGTCACCTCCAGTCCTTTGTTATGAAGCTAGCAGGATTAGTACAACTTGAATCCCTACATGTTGTAGCCTCAGGGTTCAGTCGAATTCCTCTAGTTGACCGCTATTTTCTGCAGAGACTGATTCTATGCAATAATGTAGTTTTGAACTGACAAATATGAGGTAAAATAGTTCAAATGGCTTGATATCTAAACGACTAAAAGCTCGATACATCACTTAAATAGTTCTAAGCTTTCAGCGGCTACTGCGCTGCAGTATTCAGTCGTTTCAAATGTTAACTAGCCTCGGCCTGTAAAATCAGTGTGTGTCTGGATAAAGAAAAACTCAGTATTATTCACTGGGTGTGGATTTGTGCCTTGCTGATCAGTATACACCACAATGCACTTGTATGCATTGTTTAACGGTTGCCGACTGCTTGACTAGTTTACTTGAATTTTTCTAAACTTCCTCGCTACCCTCTGCTTTTTGTACCACCCTTTATTTTTTCGTGTCATCAGAATATAAAGATACCGATATTAACAGAAGTTGTCTAGGCATCTTAATATTGACCGACTTTTCTCTAGTTTATGCAAGTTCACTAAATTCTCCATCCAATTTAGTCCAAAATTTTAGTATTGCACTTTTTATGTGTTTATATAAATATATAACATCTCAATCTTTATTTTCCTCCATTTTCCTATCATTTCATATCTCTTATGTTTTTTCGTCTGGTAATGTGTACCTTTCAGTTCGAAATCATAATTTTTCTTCTTTAGCACTCACGGAGGAATTCGTATTATCTGTCAAATGCTTAATTAACATTTGTTCAACTGTTCAAGTAACAAGTCTTTTAAAAACCGTGCTGTCAACTCAAGAAAAACGTGAAGAGTTCACTCGAATCCTTGCTACCCTCTCTTTGGATAATTCAAGAATTCATGCTGATTTGGCGTCTCTAATTATTGACTTGATTTCTAATTTGACTAGAGATCCTGTTTGGATTAGTCATTTTGGTGAACATTTCGATAGCAAACATATTAGATCGATTCTTAGTTCAAGTTCTTATGTTCAGAAGTTTCTTCCAGTAAGTTAATTTTACTAATTGAGTTTGGTTATTGAAGATAGTACTTAACCTAAGTAGCCTGACATCAGTACGTCACTCCGTATGTTCCTCAGAACAATTACGAAAGCTGATGGGTTTGTTTTCGAAGGTGGATTCCGTCCCAATCAAAATTCTCATAGCTGGCATAATAAAAAATTGCTCATTTGAAGATGGTAATTCGTAATAATCTAACTTATTTTAAAATATGGATTCCCAGAGCTTCATTGTGAACTTTTCAACAAGGGCGTTGGTTTGCTCGATGCAATTTTAGTTCCACTTTGTGGTCCGGAAGATTGTATTGATAAAGAAGACCGTGCTATATTGCCTAAATCTGTGCAGACTATAACTGGGAGCCCCCAATTTTCTCGTTTGTTTTCCACTGAGTTGTATCTCACTATTTGCCAAACATTTTTGCAGGTAATCTTTTTTATTTACTCTTTAAGTGTCAACTTAGTTTTGCTCCACCAATCACGGACGAACATTTCTTCGGTCCAATGGAGTTTATTTCATTTTGCGTGAGGTACACAAATATGTAGCAAAAGCCGAAGAACAAACACAGTGTCCTGAAACTGACGATGCAGTTACAAACAAAGAATTGTTATTTTGCATCGAACAAGTAGTAGATCAACTCATTTGTGAAGAAAGTGAACGTGATGATCGCTATGCAAAATCCAGTCTTAGAGAAATAAATATTGACACAGAAACTAAAGAAAAACTTGATAGAGTGAAAAAAGACTATTTGGAATGCATGTAATGTCTGATATCGTTAATATATTTCATTTTGGCTTTGTAAATACTCAGTACTCCAGTCGCTGTTTCTACTCTTTAATTTTTCTACACCCCAATTAATTCTAATTAACTCTTACGACGATGAACTTCAGCTGTTTAACATTGAACCTGTGTAACAACGTTCGTTGATAGCAATCACCTTTTTTATCACTAAGTGAAATTTTAAACTTTATTTGCAAATGCATTGTAGACACTTCTAAGAACGTCAAAGTTCAACGTTCTTTATAATCTAAATGTATTCGACAGTGTTTTCAATTATCAGATTTTCCATCAATAGTTTTTAAAGAGACCCAACATATGGAATAAAATAAATGGAAAAGTAGCGGGAAACTTGATAATTTATACCACTTAAGTGCGAACTCAATGGAGATGGGTTTTTTTCAGTTTCATTCTAGACTTTGCTTTGTTTCAAGGTTTATCATGCTGTTTTAAAGTGTACATAAATGCAGTTATTTTAACGGACATCTGGAACAATGTAAAAACATAAAGGCCAACTCTAAACATTGGTTATTCAGCACAGTATCAGAATGATAATTCAAATTGTAGTGCTCAATTTGTAAGCTCTTCCATTATCCCCTCCTAATTACTCTTCGCTTGATATTATACAAATTGAAAAATCTAATCTATCAATTGAAAGTAAATTCATAAATTATAATTTTTCTAAGAACAGTTATCTCTCCTCATGTCCATATTTATCCCTGTCACAGCCAATGGCAAAAGCTGAAAGTAAGGATTACAATCGTATTGGTTTTGTGTTGAGACAGATACAGACTTGTTAATTGAACAAAACAGCACAAAGGCTCTTTTTCACCTTATTCGTTTTAGCTCCGTATCAACAGATAAGTTCCACATGGAATATTATAAGAATAATCTGGGTGTAATTAAGTCTTGGCAACAAGAATTAATGGGTAAAAAAATTGTGGATAGTTTGTATCACAAATACTGGTCAACTCCCTGTAAAGATACAATATGTCGCTTACAGTAAAAGTGAATAAATGCTGAGTAAATAATATCATCGATAACCGACTTGAGAAAAAATTCAGTAATTAGTTCACAGCATGAAGGCAGTAAGTTACTATTATTTTTATTGAACCAGGTTATTACTCAGAAAAATAAAATAAACTATGGAAACAAGGAGTGTATCATCTGAATTCGAATTAGGAATTAATTTTTGTGCTTAAGGGATTTATGTTTGTCTCCCTAACGTTTAGCGTCAGTTACCTTTCAGAGTGTTAAACGTTGATCTTGTCTATTCAGCAAATTCTTAAAATATTCCCTTCTAATTAGTTAGAGGTACTGGAAAATTATTTAAAAGAAATTTAAACGTTTGGATGATTTGGAAACAAATTGCATTGTCATATTAACAGGAACAGTGGAAGAATAATAAAGCCTATGCATCACTACAGTATAATAAACAAACGAAGGGTTATATGATGTAAACTTCAGCTAAATCTACTAAGTGAACTAAAATAAGATAGGTACTAGATTATTTTTTAGTCAAACTATCGTTGTTTACAGTGCTCTTAGCAAAACACTTAATTTCGCAGTAGATTCGTTTTACTATACGCTTAACCGATTTACGGGATTCTAAATAACGGTATAGGAAAGTATTAAACAATCAATTCTATAAATAGACTGACAGAATGGAGTCACCACTCGACCCACCTCTAGTTGACTGTTTCATTGCTAATCTCGAAAACATTATACTTGGACTAATAATTAACAACCATCTATACAAGACGTTTCGTGACTCAGTGTAAGCCACTTCTTCAGAGAATAAATTTTTCTACTCATTGGGATATTACAAATATATTATTTATTTATTTATAACAATCTACCCAATGCTCAATTTATTCAAAATTATCAAATCAAAACTTGGTAATGATACCTACAAATCTATACGAGAGATACTTAAGCGACACTTTCATTATTTGTGACCAAAACATCAATGTCAGTGACATCCCGGACGCGTTCAATAACTGTCATCAATCATTTAATTTCATGGTAGAATGAAAGTCAGACTCATAATGCCACCTCTCAGATGTTCTGGTAAAAAGGAGACCTAGGAGTTCTCTACAAAGATCAATACATAGACAGCCAACATCAAATGGTCAGTGCACGAATTTTAAAAGTTGGGTCCCACTGAAGCAAAAGAGAAACTTGATCCGTTCTCTGTTCGAGCGCTAGACACATCTGTACAGAGAATACAATCAATACCGAACTTGACTACTATAGGCACTGACCAACAGCAGATATCCATCTACATTCATTCAGAAAAATCTTAAGCCCAATCAACAATGTGGAGATGTCCGCAGCACCAAAGGAGACTCTTCCTGAACATTCATTTTGAAGGAGATAGTGTGGCAAAAAATCATAAAAAGTAGACTTTCAAGATCTCTGAGTACAACATTCCATTCATTTGAACTCTGCATTATCTTTAATAGTCGGCCTATGATTCGAAGTTGTGTGAAGAATAAACTCCCGCTTTGGGCCAAATCAATGTGCATCTATCAGTTTACTTGTTCTTGTGGAGCAGGCTATATTGACCACACAAAGAGAGCCTTTTGAAAACGCATCTCCGAACATCACCCTGCCTGGCTCTCCAAAGGATTGCACAAGTCTGTCAAAGGCTCGACCTTGGAGCATCTGATCTATCCCTGTCACTCTGCTTCTCCACAAACATCCCTCAGAATTATACATAGAGTTGACTCAATAGGAATGCAGTTGAACTTGCGTACAGCAGATCCTAATGCTATTCACCAGTTTAATCATAACCTTTTCGTACAGTATGATCAGTTCCTCATCCTTCTACAGCCCTAATCTCCCTTTTTATCATCTGTAATCTATCGTTTTTCTTCATATTATATTGTTTCTACTCCTTCCAAACTATTAATTAGCAATTACTACAACTTTTTAATTATTCTGTTCTTATTAGCTATCAAGTGGGTAATTATTTCACTTTATCACCCTTTCAATATCTGATTTTCAATCCTAGACAACATATCACTCTAAGTTTCTTAATGATTTAAAACTTTTATATCTTACTATTTTAATCAATAAGGATTGATCTTTTTTCCAAATCAATAGTGTGTCAAATGTTTAATTAATCACAACAAGGTTAGTTGTCCCTCCATGTTTGCTAAGTGTCTTCTTTGTGCAAATGAAGGGACCCAGTTGGAAATAAATTTTAAACTCAAATAATTACAGTCAGTTATACACCTATTTACTATTTATTTAAACACATATATATTGGTACAAAAGGGCACCAGATACATATGCGCCACACAAAATAATGAAAGTAGCAAAAGAAGGGATGAAAAGATAAGGCGGATTGAAATGTACAACCAGAAGACTCTTTCAGTTAGGAAAGTTAGAACCATTCTTTATGTAGAAAGTAAAAGAAGGTTGCAGCAGGATCGCCACTGGCTTCTATTCTGAGCCATATCTGATAACGTCTCTAGCCACTGTGTTGCACCATCTCTCGGACCCCAGCCAGAGAGTCGTGAAGGACCAACAGAAGCTAGCCCTTTGCAGCTTTCTTTCATGCCACGACACCATGTCATACACTGACCTCCTCTCCGCTTTTTCCAACCAGTCCCAGGGTCGGCAAATAATGCACGACGTGGAAGTCTCTGGGACGACATTCGTAAAACATGTCCAAGCCACCGAAGTCGGTGTTTCAAGATGGTCACACCAATTGAATTATCATCCCTGCGCCCGAACACACGATGCCAAACCTCTGCATTACTAACATGGTGTTGCCACTGGATGTCAGCAATCCTTCGGAGACAACGATGATCGAACACAGAGAGTCGTCTAACATCCTCAACTCGGAGAGGCCAGGTTTCACAAGCATAGAGCAAAACTGCTCTCACCGACGCGTTGTAGATCCAACTTTTTACAGCCAGACTAACATCACGAAGGCGCCAAGGATGGCCCAGATTGGCACAAGCCGCTCTGGCTTTCATTATACGTGCATCAATCCCATCACTCACGCCACCTCCAGCACTTATATAGCTACCTAGATACACGAACTTCTCAACTACTTCAATCTGCTCACCGTCCAGGGTGAGTGCAGGATGAGAATCCTGCCAGTCTTGTAGGAGTACTTTGCACTTGGAGGGTGCAAAGCACATGCCGTACCTGCGGACACTGATTGCCAACTGATTAAGTGCGAATTACATGGCTTGAGCATTATCGCACAGTAAGACAATATCATCCACATACTCGTGGTCGAGAAGTCGTTCTCCAGGCAACATATCCACACCGCCATTACTTACATCCATCAGAGCTGTTTCCAGGATGTCGTCGATAGCAAAGTTGAAGAGGAATGGTGAGATCGGGCAACCCTGTCTCACCCCACTGTTCGAATGGAACAAGGGAGAAAGGTGGTTGTATGCCCTCACTCTGCCTGAGGTGTTCGTATACAGGGCCTTTAAGATATTAATGAACTTCTCAGGCACACCCTTCTTCAATAGACAATCCCAGCAGTATTAAGGCACCTGAGTTTTATTTGGTGGTGTATTTATTGCTCTGGTCTTTAGGTAGTTGTAGTGTTTTCTGGAAACGATATTGAGCAAACTAGTTATACACCTGTTTCCATGTAAACCTTACCAAGCTGTCCAATACGATTGCACATGGCCATTTTGTACGAGAATCAGGATACTAATAGCTCTTCTCACGGAAACTGACTGTACATATATCACACTAGATAGGTGACTTATCATCGTCACACTCTTACACCTCAGCTAAATGCAATCGTATTATCTCAACAAAAAGAAATAGACGTCCAATACTATCCATCTAAATATATTTTATTACCAGATATAGTCTTTCAGAAGCATCTTGGCTCCTAAATGTGTCTTACATCCTGTTTTAAGTTTATTACTCAGATTGTGATTAGTAAAACTGGGAATCAGAGTTTTTCGTCTTATATAATTTAGTTCGATCTAAGATACCCAGTAGCCGTTCTGTGGTACTGAGAAACAAACTGACCTTAAAATCTGTTCGATTCAGAGACACGTATGCATTTCATATTTACTTTGCTCTAGCTAGTTGCGTTAGGTATATGACTGAACCAATCCATTTGAAAACCACCCGTCTATGTTAACATTAGAACTTTTCCTCAGCCACTAAACCACAAGATTCGGCAGTATTAAGGCACCTGAGTTTTATTTAGTGGTGTATTTATTGCTCTGGTCTTTAGGTAGTTGTAGTGTTTTCTGGAAACGATATTGAGCAAACTAGTTATACACCTGTTTCCATGTAAACCTTACCAAGCTGTCCAATACGATTGCACATGGCCATTTTGTACGAGAATCAGGATACTAATAGCTCTTCTCACGGAAACTGACTGTACATATATCACACTAGATAGGTGACTTATCATCGTCACACTCTTACACCTCAGCTAAATGCAATCGTATTATCTCAACAAAAAGAAATAGACGTCCAATACTATCCATCTAAATATATTTTATTACCAGATATAGTCTTTCAGAAGCATCTTGGCTCCTAAATGTGTCTTACATCCTGTTTTAAGTTTATTACTCAGATTGTGATTAGTAAAACTGGGAATCAGAGTTTTTCGTCTTATATAATTTAGTTCGATCTAAGATACCCAGTAGCCGTTCTGTGGTACTGAGAAACAAACTGACCTTAAAATCTGTTCGATTCAGAGACACGTATGCATTTCATATTTACTTTGCTCTAGCTAGTTGCGTTAGGTATATGACTGAACCAATCCATTTGAAAACCACCCGTCTATGTTAACATTAGAACTTTTCCTCAGCCACTAAACCACAAGATTCGGCAGTATTAAGGCACCTGAGTTTTATTTAGTGGTGTATTTATTGCTCTGGTCTTTAGGTAGTTGTAGTGTTTTCTGGAGACGATATTGAGCAAACTAGTATGGTGAATCTGGTCCTGATAAATCATCAATTAGTTTTATTTTTATACACACCATATTAGTGGTTCTACGTGGTACATTTGGAATTAATGGTGGCCGAGTCACTATAATCCAACTTGTGCATGATCAGTAAGAAGTATGCAAGCAATTATAATCCAGATAGTAGGCAAATTATGCTCGTTGTTCACTCCCATCAATGTAAAATGTATGCTGACATGGTTAAATTTCACCGGTTACGTAACATAAGAGTTTACTAAAATACATTGGGAAGTCAGTCGTTGCTGATCGTACGACTGTTTGGTGGTGGTTTGCCATTTTGAAGGATATCTGCGTCATATTATATAATAACTCGGCTGAAAATGGTGACCGCCGGATGACCCAGAGGTATAATACCCAATGTCCTTGGTTCGTTTACGTGTAGAGACGGGACAGCCGTCCAGTGCACTTTGATCTTTAGTGACTCTTGAACATATCCCATGACTATTCAAAGCCTAAGAGTATACACAGATATTTCAAAGCACACTATAGTGCACAGTGAAATCAGACCACAGATACGATTAGATTAATCATTTTCAAAGAGTTTGGTATGGATCCTCAGCTGTCACACTCTTTTCAATATGATTGTACTTCGCGTCACACAATGCAGTCGGGACTCCTGAGTTGCATTTGATTCGAGTTGTTACTAAGTTACAGCAACCAAGATTCGAGATCAGCTACACCTAATTCAATCTGGACACCCATGTAGCATTATTAACCCTTGGGAAATGTAGCTCGAATTCTATGGCATGAAAATAAGAATTACTGACGGCCATTCCCGGTTAGCAGTTGTACAAAAATGACAAACATTTACTACGTAAATGTAAGTATAGATTTTGAAGATATGCGACAACTTCATAAACAGTAAATACAAACGTAATAACACATTATCAAGTAAAAAAAACAGTAAGAATATTTAAAAAGTTCGAAACCCAAAGCACTGTAAATGTCCATAATTAGTATCACCGAAGTCACGAATTTTGCACTTGTGTGTAAATACATATGGGTTGAAAATGATCTGTCAAAAGAACGAATATCACTCAATGGGCTCACAGCACACATATGGCAAAACTATTAATCACATGTGTTTATTACATATTATAATAAAAGAAATGCAAGTGAAACAGTAACAAATAGAAAAAGAGAGAACTAGTTAATGGCTAACTCCATTTTCTGCGTTTGGCAATTTGATTTTATACTCGTTTAGAATTTGATCCAATTGTTGATTATTTCCAGAGAAGAATGCTGATGTTGCATTCTGTAAAAGTACTAATTGATGTCGCATAACACGCAACTAATAACAAACGAGGTGTAAATATGACAATAGAACAAGTAAAGATTAAAAATATCCAAAGAATATTATTAATCTTAGCAGTATATAAATTACATAGAGGATGACTGATGATACCCATCTAAAAACAGAGATATCCTAGGTCAGTTATCGTTTACTAATTAGCTTGCAGGTTTGATACTTTAGCTTCGTTTAAGTTTGAACAGGTAGACTGTTTCATAACCCGGCTTACACAAAAATGTACTTAGCTTCGAAGTCTCCCCTAGATTTCACGTTAGAGTACAAAATGCATAGTTTAATAATATATTTTACGCAACACTACATTGCGTACATGAAATAATTAAAGTGTTAGCCTACAGCTAATCTGTAAAATTTCTCCGAAATCGGGAGAATTATAGCACCTTGACACCGCATAACTTACCACCATATTTATGCTAGAATCTTGCATACTGACAGGAAGAAATAGAGCGAGTCACTCAGAACGGATGCTTAAGCATTATATTATGGATTTTTTAAAAACAGGATAACTGCTGATTTGTTGCACAAGCTTGTGCTTCTAAACTAAGTAACAAAAGTATTCCTTGAAAACTCTGTTACGTTATACAAACACTCAGCGGAACAGTGACTTGGTAATTAAATCTAGGTGATATTTGCCAGTCCTCCCAAGTAAGTAAATGTTAGGTGTCTATTGAGAGATATAGACAGACCTAGTGCTTTAAAAGTAGAATGGATTACCATGTTTTCAGTGAGTCCAGTCCTATGATATATTCCAAAACCAAGGTATAGTACGAAGACTACTAAAAAATTCACCTTCAATAGTAATACACGTACGCCTAAATTACTCAAACATAAAATGATGATAGTGGGGCACTATTTCCAGGACAGAGTGGGTTGGAGACCTATGCTCCATTGAGGGTAATAGGAGTAAGTAGAACAATATTAGTATGGTACACATCCCAGTTGGTTTTTTAGTAATTGCGATATTATCTTAGAAGTAAACTGATGTTGAAGCATGTAGATTCTCTTCAAGATTTGCGATTCAGTTGGTGCCTTAGCAGATTGGATGCGTTATAGTCGAAGTTCTATTGTGCATTAGTTGTTCAATTTATCTAACAGCCAAAGGTTCAATCTCGTTTTAGTAACGTACTGCCAACTGTTTGACACACCTCGCACTTCCTCTTGAAAAAACCGTAACAGTTAACAAGACTTCTGATTATTCCCAAACTTCTACACCAACAGTGATTACCATCTGATGAAAATTATATGTGCATAGTTTTCCTGTTTAACATACAATTTTAGATCTAATAAACTCACTCTGTTTTCTTGTAGAAATTCCAATTTACATAGAACAGCTTTTCTCAACTGGGAATACCGTTCACACGCTGCATCTAATCGTGATTGTAAATTATGACTATCGTGAGTCGAGTCAGTGGCAAATGAATTTCCTGACATTGTGATCCTAGTTGTAGTAGTGGGTGTGACAGTATCAGAATTATTATTAACATTAGGTTTTCTACTTTTTGTTTGATTCATTTCATTACGATAAGCATCATATTGTATACGAGCCGATTGCATACTAGAAACAGTAGTCCATGTATCTGTAAATGCATGACTAATCAGTGTGTTCAAAGTATCAACAAAATGGTTTAATGATGCTACAGGGATAAAAACAAAATAAATACCATAAATGAATAAAAAGATTAGTGAATTTTTTTTATTTTAAGAAGATAGAGAGGAACATAATAAATAAATCACAATGAATGCCTCTAAGCCGACATTGACGAGTGGGTAGTATACCTTGAAAGGATAATAAGACGATGTTCATTTGAAAAATGTGATATATCTGTACAATACATTTTAAGGATTAACTCGGTCTTATTATTGCATTCTTTTAATTTATAGAGGGGATTGACTGTCGTAAAGATAGCAAACTTTTCATAACAGACAGACAGATACGTGAAATTAGAAAAGTTAAAATAATTGTATAATGATCATATGTTCAATAAACATCTGACATGAATAAATTATTGTATTGATTAACAAGAAAACGCATTACGGTAGCCAATAGTAGTGTCTTTTGACATCATTTTACTTGGAAGTGGCTTGTGCCAATAATCGCATTTTACTGCGTAACTGTCATCTGTTTAAATTTCAAATCCATTTAGACAGACATACATTCATAGTTACACTACATTTCTTCATAATGACACTGATTTATCAATTACAATCGACTGAAACAATTCAGATGTTACAAAGAAAACTATTTTGATTATACAGTAAGCAGGTTAAAAATGAAACTAGTAGCCTCTATTATATAAGTGCATGATTATGTTATAATAAACAAATCAACTTATTCGCAGTGTAATGTCAAGGGAGTCTTCTTAAAACCATAATGCTTGCAATAATTCATAGAATGGTTTTGTAGAGAGTTAACAGTTACACATTCATCGTATAAAACAGAACTCTACGAACGATTAATGAAATGCAAACATGGTAACATTTATCATGGTTAAGCATTTCGTTTTGTGATTAAATAAAGGTCGCAGGTCAGATAATGGTGACCGTCTACTGCAGCCTATAACCTGTTTCTGGCTAGCACTAACTATCGGCACAGTCATCCCCAATGTGCTACATGGCGTCTTCTTTCTGCATCTCAAGTCTGGACTCAGATTGATCACACTGAGATCAGTTATTGCCGCAGGGTACTTATCTGGACTCTGATTATACCCTTGCCTGGACCAACAAATTCATCGTTCGAAGGACTGCTGACATTCAGTGCCAACGCCATATTAGTTAATTCGGAGGTTCAGTAATGTGTTTGGGTACAGTGATGATAATAGAATTGGTGTTACCATCTTGAAACACAGATTTCAGTGGCTTGGGCGTGTACTACGAATGTTGTCCCAGAGAATTCCACATCGTGCTAACGCTAGGACCGGTCGGAAAAAGCGGAGAGGTGGTCATTGCATGACATGATGTCGTGGTATGAAAGAAAGCTGTACAGGACTGGCTTCTGTCGGTCTTTCACGACCACCTGGTTGGGGTCCCAGAGATAGAGCAACCTTGTGGCTTAAGACGTTATCAGACGTCCTCAGAATGGAGGCAAGTGATGGTCCTGCTGTAACTTTCTTTTATCATCATATAAGAATAACTTCTTTAACTGAAAGGGTTCTTTTTGATCGTGTTTTCTAAATGAAGCGCTTCACCCACTATTTTTTCCACGCTCTTATTAAAAAAAATTCATTTTTTCTATTTCATTATACTCACCTTCCCCTTTCTATCTCTTCACAGTCTCATTTTTATTATGTGGCTAATATATATTTTGGTGTCTCTTTGTTCCAATGTATCATTAATAACTAATTTGATTTTTAAGACCCTCAATAATCAAGACGATTTATACAAATAATAATAAGAAAAGTATATCTCGTTAACCAAGTGGATATTTATATACTCAGCTTTGAACTACTTTCATAATGTAAGAGCTGACATAACATTTGTCTACTAGAAAGATGAGTACACAAACCAATTATTCACTGTTTAATTCAAGCCACAGGATGAAATAATACGACCAATCCTCCCTCCCAAAAGTGCCTTACCTTTAGATTGGGTTTTAACTTAAAAATCTAAACGCAATATGCATATCGCGAAACCCAAAATTCTTGGGTTTGACATCTGTAGAGGTCGTTCAAAGACATTATTGAAGAGTTCTACAGCGGGGAAAAACAGCCGTTTTTCATCTGAAATAAGCTCATGAGAAAAATCATCTTAAAGAAGATTAAATAAAACGTGAGATCAAGCCAAAAAGTACACATAATCCATACCCAATAATTTTTCTCCATTTGATATAACGATACGTTGGGTTTCTGTATTATAAGTGAATTCACTGCTTAAATCAGGTTGCTGGACAATTAAAGTAGTCATATGACTCGTAAATGCACGTTGGTGATGAATAGTTTCACGAAAACTATTAGCTAACTTTTCAGCGAGGTTATGCAATAGTTTATACTGTTGATGCATATTTCTATATCGAAACAAAGATAAAAGAAAAGAATACTACACACTAATTATTACTGGTTAGAAAGCTTGGAGAAACGTCAGCTGGAAGTTTAACACTTGTACACAAAATGTTGAAAGCATTTCAACTGGCAAAAGTAATTTCACCTTACCTCATTAGAATAGAGTTTAGTAATCTAATGACTCTTAAATAAGATGTTCAACAAAAAACAAGAAAACCCATCGAAAACCATATCTGTAATAATCACCAATACTATTAGAAAACTAGTAGTGATAAGTTATGTTTGTCCCTTATATGTATTAAAGTAAACTGATTAAGTAGATCTTACATGTTTACAAAGCTCCTAGCAAACAAAGCCTAAAATGGAAGAATTTTTTATCTTAACCTATCCTAATCTTACTTAAAAGATTTTACTCAACTACAGACCCTATAACAATGGCGTAATCAGTTCATAATACTATTCATATTGGCTTTGAGGACTCTATTTAAAAGTTTTTTCCCGTTCAAATATTACTGCAACCCACAATGTTAAGTAAGTATTTGGGATAGCGAAAACAAATCATATTCCCATAATAGTTAGTCATATACAACGTATAATCTGGGACATACGTACCCCCCCCCAAGTTCCAACACAAAATCGGCGTAGAAAGATGACATAACAAGCTGATAGTTTTGGAAAAACTGTTAATCGTTTAATAAATTGATTAGTCGATATTATGCATGTGTGAGAGGATAAGACAAAAATAAATATTCTCTAAGCATCTCTTGTTGGCCCAACTACCTCATCGATGTCACATGACTTTGTGAAAGTCTTAGTGACAATCCCCCCAGAAACCCACTTATATTTTACACGAACAACTACGATTGCTGCTAGACAATATTCGTTGCGCACCTAAACACTATCCTGTTAGACGCCATTATATAATAAAAACAGATTAAAGGAGGTATATGTGATTACAATCATGAAATCACTAAGGTATGATATAATTTCTATTCGGTAAACAATTTACACTTTATTTCCTATCAAAGCTAGAAATGACGTGTACCAGCTGAAAAAATCAATGAAGTGACTAAAACAAGTTAATACATGATTCGTTTTTTGTTAGAAGTAACTAAGTTTTATTTTTAACACACACGGCCTAAATGCTTGCATATTCGATGCGGTATGTCCAAAAGAGGTCAAAAGTTATATATTTATCCGATGAGCCTGAATGAATTTGTGCTACCGGTGTTCCTACCTTGAATTTTTAAATTTTACCTTTAGAATAAACTATGTTCTCATAAAAAGTAATTCTAAGCTAAAAACTTTGTCACTTGTATCGGAAAATGATTTACAAATCTAAAACATCTCACGCAAAACACTAACACCTTTGTTCAGAATAAATTTACAACAGCGTTTGGTCTTATTATTAGAAGTAAAATCCTTTCAAATACATTTTAACAAGAATAATGTTAGAATCCACTTAGTATTGTTTGTTTGGATCTTCCCATCGATGTGTTTAGGACTGCAACTGGTCAGTCTCTAATTGGCATATGTGCATACTGTGCGTATTGCCTCGATATACCTTAATTCACAAGCATGGTAAGCAGAGATGGATAGTGGCTAGCAGTGGAATCCAGGACGCGCGTTTCGTCCTATTTGGAACTCGTCAGCTAGATGTACCTGCATCTCAGAGTTGATGTTCACTCTGGGACTCGAACCCAGTACCCTCGCCTCAAACGCCATCGCGTTATCCACTCGGCCACTGAGCAATACGCACAGTATGCACATATGCCAATTAGAGACTGACCAGTTGCAGTCCTAAACACATCGATGGGAAGATCCAAACAAACAATACTAAGTGAATTCAAACTTCACCTCATCGCACAAGCAAGTGGCTATCAGGACTCAGTGGCCGAGTGGATAACGCGATGGCGTTTGAAGCGAGGGTACTCGGTTCGAGTCCCAGAGTGAACATCAACTCTGGGGTGCAGGTACATCTAGCTGACGAGTCCCAAATAGGACGAAACGCGCGTCCTGGATTCCACTGCTAGCCACTATCCATCTCTGCTTACCAAGAATAATGTTAGTTCAACAGTGGTCAATAATTTGAAAGCAGGATGTCAAATCTTTCAAAAGCACGTGCGGAAGTAGTACTCAAGTCAGTCAGTCAGTTACAATGTACGACCGGGCACATATATGTATCGGTACAAGTTGTCATACCTCATTAGCACAACAAGATGAACACCAAGTTCATAAGATTACTTCATTGGTAGTAGAAACAAAAAAACATTTCACATAAGGATATGAAAGAATTAGTTCGTAGAAAAAATATATAAAGTAATTTTGATCTCACGGTTTAAGAGAAGACAAAGTGTGTATTCACCTACTCCATTGTGATTGATTATGAGCCATGTAATTTGATGGTGTCCTATCTCAAAATCTGAACCATAACACAGAATAAAAATGTGGTCTAAAAGGTTGGTCTCATTATTTTATATTCATTCTTTCGACAGTTTGAATGAATATCCTCTATATTTTGTACCGTAAAATATCGTGAATTGAATAAACCTTATGCACTGCACTTAAGCGGCTTCTACGGTGAGAATTATTCGCAAACATAAGAATTGTGTCAAACAGCAAGAAGAAAGTCAATTAGCGACATAACGCTTGGGAATGGAGGATAGCTGTATCGAGTAAAAGTCTGTAGGCAGCTATTTTCTATCGGACTGGAGCTTTGGTGATCACACAGCCTAACACCCTAATAACACATTATACATGGATCGTTTACGGTATGTTTTTGTTCCTCAGGAATAGTATTGTGGTGTGGTCTACTTATATCCACACAAGTAGTATATGGTGATGGTCAGACATAGAATGTATTTTCGCAGAAGATCGATAAGGAAAGAACAGGAATGAAGCACAATTGGTAATAAAATGCATGAACAATGAAATCAGAGAAGACGGACTGATATTTGCAGAGGGAACAGTTAAAATTAAGACAGTTGGTTGTTATTTTGCAAATTAACTGTTTATTGTATAGTTATCAGAATTTAGTGAGATAGTCTGTAATTTGTGCTTAAACACATTTGATTGCCCCCACCCGTGTTTTGTTCACTACAGTATGATGAAATGTTGGGGAAAATAAAACCTACATCGGTTATGTTCCTATTTTAACTAGATCTTTACTATTCTTATTCTAGTTATTACACTAGTATGTATTCGACGTTTCGTCTAACAGTGTCATTTTGACTTGTGTGGTTAATCTCTCAGTCCCGTGGCAGATTGGGAAGTTCCACAGCTTTAAGTAAAATAAAATAATGTAGGGAAGAACATGCAGGGTCGCTCTCTACAATAACTACTGATACCTTAATGAGTTGAAAAACATAACTAGATATTTATATAACGACAACGTTGGCTTGAAATCAGTTTCGATAGGGAAGCGAAATATGATTAGTAGGCACGAAGTGTTACCATTTAGATATTAAACTTTTGCTTGACGTTTAACATTAATTAGCACTTAATTGGAAAAAAGGAAACTCCGTCATTTCTGTAATCAATCAGGAAGATAATCCCTTTACTTTGAGGCCTCATAGTTTGGAGATTCTTTTCATTAATTTACTTTTTTCGCTCTTAAATAATCCATCATTCTTGATGGCACTAAGCCCACACTAATCACTACCACATTCAACGATAACGTCGCTACAGTTACCCTAGTCACAAGTGATTATCTTTAACCATCTAGTGGGTCAAATGTAAATAAAATGGTCAATGGGTTGAGCCCCTATATATCTTGGTTGCTGACACGAAAATTGAAGTTCATAGTGAGAGTATAAAGAAGCACTAGGCACTAAAACACTTTAATTTTAGATGCAGGAAGGTGTCACATGGTAACTTGGTGTCTTTTAGTTAATAGAGCTTACATACAATGAACAGTACTAGAATTTACTTGAAAACAATAAATGTGGAAATTAATTTTTTTGATTCATTAGTGTGGTACGGTTGTTTGTAAATTAGATGACTGAATATCACCCGCTTAACACTTTTTGAACTAACCTAAACATTGAAATCCGATTCTCTAATTCTTGATCACAAGTTACACTTGCTGTTCCCAGTTTTTCTTCAATCATTTGTTTTGTACATTTGAATGTTGTTACACTCCAATGTTTCAAATTTTCCAGACGGTTTTGCAAGTTAAGACTATCATATGATTCCATAGGTCCTGTCTCATTACTAGGTCCATCTAGAAAACAAGTTAGAAACGAAGTAGCATAACCAACCCTCACCTTTTGATAATGATGAAACAGGGTTAACTACGCTGTTGCTAGAAGTAAGGTTCTGTGAATGTTCTATAGAGTTTCTGAAGACACTGGAGTTTGGTTCATGACGAATAGATGGTGGATTAGATGGTGCGGTAGTATAAGCATTAGCGCTAGCTCTCATTTATTTACATGAATTTCTAAATAAAGCGGAAAAAAAGTTGGGACATGAGTGCAAAATAATGCATACATCAGAAACTGGCAGGTATCAAGATATTTAGTTAAAAATATGACTCATTTATCAAACACAGGTTCGTGTGCTTTCCTTTGGAATACACTGTACGGATTCATTGTACCATTCAGCTGCTTAAGCAGTAGTACACGGAGCAAGGATCCAGCGTGGAATTTACTGGCTGAATGAGAAGTACATTGGCTTACTGTATACTATAAGAGAAAGAGAATCGTGAAATCCTGATAGAAATACCATGAGTAATGGCAAATATCTCCATCTAACCACACTGACCACTAGTTCAATGAACCTAATCAAAGAATGTAACAGCATGGTTGAAAAGTCACAGCATATATTCGTTTATCACTATGATCTTAACAAACCAAATTGGTTAATTGACTTTCAGGTGGCATACTGTGATGGAACGAAGTACAAATTACACCAATAAATTGCTGGACAATCAAATAAGTACTGTTAAACAGGTATATGATTAGAAATACAGTAAGAGTCGTAGATGCATATGTTGGCTCATGTGAATATTTTTAAGCTCATGTAAACGTATATGTGTATATATGCACTGACTGATACAAACATGAATTTATAAGTTCAAGAAGAAACAAATTAAAAGAAAATATTGAGCGATATATATAGGAACAGTGACTTTAGTGTTTGGATGTTGTGTCCATCACACCTACACAAAATATTTATCAAACTAAATTAACGACACTTAAATAACTCGAACATTGAAAAAGAAATCACTTGGTGGAAAACGTGCATATGAAAAATCAACCATCCTTCGTAAAATGTTTGCAGTTAACGACTTAAGTTTCTTTTCAAAATCAGTCAGAATCCATCCCGGAACTTTCTTCTGTGGGAGGGGCGGGTATAAGGCTTAGAAGTTAAATCTTCCACTGTTATTTGTCAGATAATTTTTAGAGGAAATTGTGCGAAACATGAGAACCATTCCTAGCAACGTATGTTTATCCCCTGAATGTGCCGACTTTAACGGCTACCAACTTACTTGATATCCTCCAAAAGTGCTAATCGATCGGTCAACTAAGTAGGAACACAGGAGAGTGAATAAAGCGAACACAAAGAAAATCGGTTGTTGTGTATAGACGAAATACGCACGAAAAGAAACGCAAGAAACTGACTTGCGCGGCTCAAATTGTCAAATGGTTTTAGGTGGAATATAAGAAGCTTTCGCTTAACAGGCTTCCGTATCTAGTGAAGGTGGATTACTGATGCCTACAGATAGGAACGTAGTTATAATAGCGACAAAATAGAAGTCGGCAAATCATAGTAAGATACTATCCTTAGTCCTTAAGAATATGTCAAGTTTTCTCTTAAACGACTCTTGGGAAGTCGCTTGGACTAGCTTAGCCTGCAACGAATTCCATCATTTGACTACTCTTAAGGAGTTGAAGTTGTGACTATAGTCTGTTCTGTTGTGTTGTGTCTCCAGTTTCTGGATATTACCCCAAAGATTTGTGTTGGGACTAAACTTAAGTAGGTGTTTATGAAGATGCCTAGAAGTGTTAAGGATGCTGTAAGTCATAAGGTCATCTCTAAGACACCTGTACTCTATTGGGTTAAGGTTCAGTGATTGCAGGCGCTCTTCATAATGCCTGAATTTAAGTCCCCGAACTGATTTCATGGCTCGCCGTTGGATACACCACAGAATGTCCTTATCCTATTGAAGTGAGGGAGGAAATACGGTGTCCGTATTCGAAATGGAGACAAATAAAACTGTTGAACACCATATGGCATTTTCGTTGCAATTAGAGTAAGACTTTGGATAATAGGTTACCAAAACTCCTAGATCTTTTCCAACTTGGGATACCGCTAGACGAGAGTCGCCTAAGTTGTAACTATAGTCTGCAACATGTCTCCGATGGACTACTTTACACTTTGGAGTGTCAAAAGTAGGGCCGTTGTAACATTCTCAACACTGGAGTCGAGTCAGGTCCTCCTGAGGTGCCAGATTATCCTCTCGGTCGCGTATCTCTCTCCAAAGTTTCATATCATCAGCAAAATGTAATAAACCTGACGATACCTGTTGTGTAAGATCGTTTATGTAGATCAAGAAAAGAAGACATCTTACTAATGAATCCTGAGAGGAGCCCACTAGGATATTACTTATCCTGAGAGAGGTTGAAGTGAACCATGACTTTAAAATGTACTTTTCTTATATAAAATGAGCCAATCAATTAAAGAGGATTTGATACACAATACCTTGAGCTTATTGATAAGACATATATGGTTGACCCTATCAGAAGCCTTTGAGAGGTCAAGGTATATGACATCAATCTTCTTCTTGCTATCAAGAATGGTTGTTTATCAGTCCACGGTAGTCAGCTGGTATGTTATACGAGAGTGATCCTTTTAGAAACCGTGTTTTTAGGGTGAAAAGAAGCTTGTGGTTAAAAATAGTCGCGTATACCGTCGCATATCTGCGACCCCATAGTTTTTGAGAGTACAGAGAGAAGTGCTACAGGTCCGGTTGATAATAACCTACAGGTGTTCTTCACGTTAGGTTGGCACCTGAGATTTCCTTTAGCGTTTGAGTTTTATTTATGGGAATTATTTGAAATGTAATGATCAAATTATAATTCAACTCGCCATAACAGGATGTTATTCTGGTGGTGAATAAATACTCAAAACAAATAGTTCTGTAAGTCTTCGATATTGAAGCTGATCTCTTAAGTCATTTTGGACACACTTTAGCTGAAATCTCTCGGTCACGCATGTGCACCAGATCACGGTTGGGTACATCACACTACGTAAACCTTGCAACTGATATCCAACTTAGACCCAACGTTTATCGACAAATCGGTAACTTTCCAATTATATATTCGAACTCCATTTCTGACATTCGATTTGGTTAGATTGTATATAATTTGATGTAATGAATTGAAGTATTTGAATTATAATATAAACTAGTAATCCCAGCAATTTGATCAAGAAGTATTAGATGAACACGAATGAATATACTGTATTTGGAATTCAAAATCAAAACAGTCATCAATATCAGGGAATCATTGGTTCATTCAAACACTACACCCACCACGGCTTATATCGGAGTGTAATTGTCTGTAATCGATCGTACGTTCATCCTGTTCGTCCGACAGTATATTGGATGCAGACTTTATATTATCTAAAATGCACTTGTTAGTATTAGAATTAACAACCGAAATTGGGACAGACTCATCTGGGTCCTCGAATTGTATTTGATCAACATATTGGTTAAGTATACTCAAGTCATTGATATCCAGAATTCGCACCATGGATTTTCGAACATTCTTCACCACGATCCCCGTGACTGGTCGAAGATCATTCTCATGACTTCAGCAGATTCCAAACACTACATATTTGAACGTAGAATTCTTCCTTTCAGTAGCTTTAATAGAGTCACTTTCGTCACAGAGTGTTTAGCATTACTATATTGCAGCAAAAATGTATTTAATCCCCTCGCCAGTTCATTAAATTGTGATGCAGCAATAGAATCAACAGCAGCTTTCAATATCCTGAAAATATTTTCTGCCTGACCGTTAGAACAAAGGTACCTGGGAGCAGTAAACAGATGGTTTTACCATATTCCATTCAACCAATTAGTGGCTGCATTCGCAGAGAAATGAGCGCCATTATCAGTCACTAACACCATGGGAACCCCTTCTCGACTAAACATCTTCCTTATTGCTTGGATTATGAAATCAGAATTGAGTGAAGTTGTAAAAAAACCTCAGGTCATTTAGGAAAAGAATCAATAACTACAAGTGCATAATAGTTGCCGAGAAATGGGCCACAATAGACAGCATTAATTTTCTGTCAAGCCTCAGACGATACTGCCCATGGAGTCCACTTCGAATGCTGACTTTTCAATTGATGACATTTTTCACAATCGTTTGATGTACGACACATATCTGCACTTATACCTGGCCACAAACATATGGGCCTTGTCAAGGACCTCATTTTCTCAACACCTAAATGTCCACTATGAAGAACTTCAAGGACAGATTTACGTAATGAAGGATGAATAAAAACATGATCATTTAGACACAAAATACTATCAGGAGTGGTAGATAACTAATCACACTTTGAATAATAGACAGGAAATCTACGTTTCAGATTAGTATTCCAATCTTTCCGTATAGCACTTAGTATGCATCCAAAGTATCTACGAGTTTCTCTAATGAGATCTGGACGTCTAACAGGTTAAGGTTGCACTAACAAACAGATTGAAGTATTACCAGGTCTATCTTGTAATGATTGTCAAGAAATGTAGTCAACGTGTTGAATTTGTTTTGCACTCCTGTGCCGAACAGCGTAGTCATAGGCACTTAAAGCAATACTTCATCGATGAACCATAGCAGTTGAGGAACGTGCTAAGGATTTTTCAGGATGATAAATGAACTTTAAAGCTGCATGATCAGTAACAATGGTAAACTTCCTTCAAAATAAATATTTATGAAGTCTTTTAACAGCCCAAAACGCATCTTATGCTTCTCTCTGAGATTGTGAATAATCTTGTTCAGTAACGGCAAGTTCGCGTGAAACACAGATAACCAGTCTATTTTCTTGTTCCAAAACTGCATCAATACACACAAGTGATGCATCAGTAATAAGTACAGAATGTACACTGGGTGAGACAGTTCAAAGAACAGCATCACTTTAAAGAAACTTTAGCAGACTTCGTAGGCATGACTCATGTTCCGCACCCCATTTGAATGGATTGGATGTCAAAATTTTAAATAAACAGTTGGCACGATAAGAATAATTAGGAATTAAACGAGAATAGTACTGAAGGGCACACACTAGTGAATGTAGTTCTCAAAGATTTTTGTAGACAGCACATTTGTCAGTGGAGCTAGTCGTTTCATATCTGGTCAAAAATCATTACAATTGACTAGGTATCCGAGGTATTCAAAACTAGATACACAAGATGAACATTTATCCGGATTCACTGTAATATTCTTCTCAATTAAATGACGCAATAAACCAGTGAGCCTCTGGTCATGAACTACTTTATCGGTACAATGAACGTTGGAATCATTTTGATAAACTTCAGCACCTTCAAGATCACTGACTACCTTATTCATGACTTCCTGAAATATGGCTGGAGAACAACTAAGATCAAATGGAAGGGATTTGTATTTGAACAGACCAAAAGCAGTGTATATTGTTGTCAAAATAGATGAAGATTGATCTAAGGGGATTTGAAGATAAGCATCTTTTAAGTCAACTTTCGAAAACACTTTAAAACCATGAAGTCGATTTAGAATATTTCCAGCCTCCATCGTCGTGCACGTTTGCTTCAGCAAATGAGAGTTCAGTGTTATTCTATAATCACCACATATTCTGGGGGTCTTTCCATCCGACTTCAATGGAGTAACAATAGGAGTACCCCATGCTGAGGACTGAACTGGTTCAATTATACCTTTCTCACACAAATTGTTCAGTGACTTATGTACTGCCTCTCAAAGACCATGAGCAATTATTCGTCTTTTTAAAAAAAACTGGATCTCCACTAAACTTAGCAAACTCAGCTATCAAATCTTTGAGTAAAGCACCAGAATTTTCTGTAGAAACTAGTAAAGACAAACACAATTTAAGCCTTTTTAGATTTTTTAAACCCAGTCTTATTTCACTAACTAAGAATTCACAAGGTACATATGAAGAATTATCATTTCTTATTGACAATTCACAACATCCTCGTATAGGCAGTCTGTGTCCAGCAATCCCCAGTATTGAGACCTCAGTGGGTCTCACCACAACATTAGGATCCAAAGATTTTAAGTTCTTGAGTGAAATGATGGACTTTGTACTACCTGTGTTTACAATAAAGTCATGAAATGAACCTAGGCATGTATATAATCGCTTTCGAATTTGAACATTGCCTTTCAAAACCGTGGAGAGAAACAAATAATCATTAGGAACAGCCGAATTATTGTAATCTAAGTTACAGGACTTAGTAATAGTTGAAGCAAAGTGAACAGTAATTTTGCATACTGAGTGAATGTGTCCTATCTTGCCACATTTTAAACATTTAGCATTACGAAATGCACTTGAATCATCTTGTGAAATTTCGCTCTCTCACGACATTCAAAACTAGTGCACTTTAGAGGATTTAGTAGTAGTTCCTTGAGAGTTGTATAAAGGAGTAAGATAGGCTTTTCAGGATGTGCCAAAGTTCTCAATAAACTGTAGGCTTCTTTACCGATG